AAACAAGCTTTTCCTCCGTGCGCAGCCGGGCTGGGTGGGAAGGGCTGTGCCACGGCCCCTGGCCCTGGTAGCGGGAGGGGAGCGCCTCTCCGGCACAACTTTTATCTTTATGGTTCTTTTCCTTTAAACAAAGCGAACCCTCCGCACAAGGATTTTTCCAGTTTCAAAATTTTATTGGACTTCTAAGCAAACGTCAATGGAGAGAGCCCTTGGCTGTGAGCGGCGAGGCGCGGGGCAGGCCAGCCCAAGGCACGCGGCTCTCCGGGGCGCTGCTTGGTCAAACATCCACCTCCCAGCGCTTGTCACATCCGTCTAAGCGGAGGGACGGCACGTGGGGAGCAGCGGAGAGCGCTGCTGCACGGTGCCTGTCAGTGCACGCTGCGTTTGGGGATGCAAAGAGCGCGTGTGGGCAAACCCAGGAGAGGGTTTGGCTGTTCCGTGGTGGATGCTGAGGGTCGGTGTGAGTGCTGCAGACTAAGGTGCATTGCCCAGGCTCTTCTGTATGAATGGGTATCTCAGAGCCCGGACCAATAGGTTCAAATTAATGTTGGTAACCTGCCTTGGGATAGCAGAACGTGGCGTCCTGAAGCTCTGCAAGGGCAAACGCGGCTCTCTGGCAGCCTTCACAAAAGTGAACTCTGCACCTTGAGAAGATGTGGGCCAGAAGACAGGCTAAGGGGAATATGGTGCAAAAGGAGGGAGCTGGGGAGGCTTGTTCTCATCTATCACATTCCCAGTTCATCTCCTGACACTGGATACATTTTCTATCTCAAAAAAAAGCAACAAAAACTGAAGAGGTGCCTTATGTGGGAGTAGTACATGGACAGAAGAGGGTTAAAGTGGGTGGAAAGGTCGGAGGCAGCTCTTGAAGGGTGTGCTAAGCAGGTTCACCCTCCCCAAGGCTCCAAAGACTTAGCCACATGGGAAAGCACCCAAGTATGAGGAAAAGGGAAAAACATCCCAAAATAGTTTAGTCTTGTTTTCTACTCTGAGACGCCCAGACAGGGTGGGAGTTCTGGTTGTGTCTGAGCTAAAAATTACAGTAAATAGAGAAGTGGCTGCAAAGCTCCATGTTCTGGATAAGAAGGACATGTACAAATGCCGCCCATCAGGGCAAAGACGTGCGGGAGATGAAGGCCAATAAATAAATAAATGCTGGGGGGGCAGTGAATTAAACAAGCACTGTGTCGAGGGGTGAACCACAAACTGCCTGGTGAAATGTGTCTTTCCCTGTGAGTTGCAGGAAGGCAGATGGGATGACAGGGAATTAAGGGAAGTAGCTTCTTATTTATGGACCGAGCAGAGTTGGGATCTTGGGTCTCGCTTCACATGGTGGCTCATGGGGCTGTGAGGCCCCCTGAGTCCACCTGGGAGCAAAGTGGGGCTGGCTTTGCCCCACTGGTAAAAAAAAAAAAAAACAAAAAAAAAAAACAAAAAAAAAGAGCAAGCTGGGCCATGAGGATAATCCAGCGCAGCAGGACGTACTGCACTACCTGAATGAGGAGATGTTCTGTGTAACGGGGAGCTGCCAGATATATCTGGATATAACTCCTGCTTACCAGGTGCAAGAGTGACCCAGGCTGGGCTGAAATCTTGGCATAAATATCAAAACCTGCTCTTTGGAGAAAGTTATAGGGCACAGCAATCCTGGCTCTCGCTCACAAGGGTCTTTGTGGAAGTTGCTCCTGTACCAGACAGACCCTGTCAAGCAGGACAGGGAGCTGGGGCTGGAGTGAGGTGTTCTCCGCGTGGAACTGTGGCCCACTGCTCCTCTTTGGGAAGACAGTTCCCCGGAGGGAAGGAAGCGTTTTTTTTTCATCCCTGCCTGACAGGGTATCTCTTGCATGGAAGACAGAGGTGTAGTTTGACTGCATGTGCTCACATAGAGACTGGTGAGTCCTGGAACAGCTTTTTTCTCCAGGCTGTGTCCTGCTGTTCCCAAGCTGATGGGATGATCTGTGTTTACCTTGCAGTAAACACGGATCTGTGAGATCCCTAGAGCCCCTTTTCACTAGTATGCAAGGTAAGGCAGGAACGGGAGAGGCTGCTCTTGAAAGATTGCATCCATAGACAAGGATGACTATATCTGTTAGAACCTCATATCATCTTCATGGTGTTTACCTGTTTGAGGATGGTCCCATGCCAGCTTGAAGCCCTGTGCTGGGTGCTGGGGTGAGCGAGCTGGCAGAAAACCCAGCAGCCCCTCAGGTCCTCAGGCATCTGAGCCGTGGCAGGAGCTCACAGGGCCAAGACGGGTAAGGGTGGGTTGTGCCTTCCTTGCCAAGAAAGGGTCCCTGGCTCTGCTGATGTCCCACGGGCTGCTCAAGCGCAATGTAAAGACCAGGCTGGAGAATTGCTGGTCTGGGGAAGGAGATGGGAACAACCCGCAGGGCAGAGGGGCCTTCCTGGTAAGGGGTGCCCGAGCAAACCAGCCATGGTGCCATGGATGCACAGCTACTGGTACCTGTTTTCCAGGCACCATCCCTTAGACCCTGTCTGAAGGGACAGAGTTGTCCCTGGCACGAGCGATGCCCTGGCAGCCCCACACCTCCTGTCTGACTCCCGTAACACCCTCTCCATCACTGCTCTCACTCACACCCCCTTCTCCCTGTCCTCTCTGGCTGCCTGCTCTCTGGGACAAACACCCCTCAAATCCCCATTCCCAACTCTCGAAATCAAGGACAAAGGGTGGGTTAAAGAGACCACGGATCCTGCACGGAGTCAGTTTGAGCAGGTCTGCTGGGATGGGGGCAGTGGGGACATGTTGTGAGGGGCAGGGGACCTGCCGGAGGATGGCACTGAGGGCAGCTTTGGAGGAGATAAAAGGCACCGGGGCAGCCCCTCTGCTCCCAGCTCCCGAGCAGAGCAGCATGTGCTTTGGCCCGGGCTGCTCCTTGGCACTCGTGCCACAGGGTGGGCGGTCCGGGAACAGTGTGAGACTCAGCAGGGAAAGGGGTCTCCGCCAGGGCCCGGAGCGGCTCCGGGCACGCGGAAGGTCCATGGGGGAGCGGAGCTAAGTCTGGTGCTGCGCAGGGCATGGCCCACGATCCGGGGGCACGAGGAGAGGATGCCGAGGATGCTGACACGGGCTGGGGCAGCAACAGCAACAGGGGGCACGGGGCGACTGGGGGCGTTTGTACAGGGTGGCAGAGGCTGCTCAGACCCCTGGCCCAAGGTGCCCCCTCAGTATACGTGGGAGGGCAACTGATCCCAAGGCAGCTGGTGCCCCGTGCTCAGCTCGCGCCTGCTGGCTGGTGCCCTGGTTCCCAGGCGGGTGCCAGCCTGGGGACAGAGGGACACCCAGGTGGGCACCTTGTGGGGACAGAGGGACACCCAGGCGGGCACCTCGTGGGGACAGAGGGACACCCAGGCAGGTGCCAGCCTGGGGACAGAGAGACACCCAGGCGGGCACCTCTTGGGGACAGAGGGACCCCCATGCCGGCACCTCGTGGGGACAGAGGGACCCCCATGCCGGCACCTCGTGGGGACAGAGGGACCCCCATGCCGGCACCTCGTGGGGACAGAGGGACCCCCATGCCGGCACCTCGTGGGGACAGAGGGACCCCCATGCCGGCACCTCGTGGGGACAGAGGGACCCCCATGCCGGCACCTCGTGGGGACAGAGGGACCCCCATGCCGGCACCTCGTGGGGAAGGAGGGACACCCAGGCGGGTACCGGCCTGGGGAGGCAGGGAACGCAGGCAGGCAGCGCTGGAGCCCGGCTCCCGTGCAGGAATCCGCGGCGGAGGCTGCCATCTAGGGCCAGGCCTGGCCTCCTGCAGGGCTCCGGGGCCGAGCGTGGGGACAAACCCTCCTGCACCAAGGGGCAGAGCTATGGGCTCTGCTCTGCGCCATCCTGCAGCTTCAGAAAGCTGGACTTTGTAAGACTTTGTAATCAGAAGATTAAAGATAGCTTTGTAACTTTACTGAATTCCACTGATTTTAGTGAAGTCACAGATCCAAATACTGAACTGCGCACATAAAAATGGCAGATAACAGTGCCAAGATTTATTAGACTACAAAATACCACGCACTGTCATTTAGTTTTTGCATCAACTAAAGAAACATTCTCTGAAAATCCCATGCCATGCCCTAAGAAACCTTTGCAGTGGTTCCAATGGTGGGGGAAAAAAAAAACTATTAAAAACACTAAAAATGTTTCCATAGTTTCTAACTGATCACCTGAGCAGAAAACCATTGGCATGGGAAGGGGATGGTGCAGCCAAGGGAAGGAACGCACAGACACAGCTCACACCTTTAGGAATCCTCCTGGAGTTGCGTTTGGAGATCTAAACCGATGTTTCCCTTCCTGTCTGGCTACAGGAGGCAGAAGCACGTGTTAGACGTTGGGAAGCGGTAAGCTGAAGGAGTGTAATGTGGAAAACGGGCATGAATAGAGTTTGCTGTTCAAAGGAACGGGGCATTTATTTCATACGGGAGTTGGGGGACGGGAGGACCAGGGAAAAAAGAAAAAAAAAAAAAAGTCCTCGCCATCTTGAATTACCGTGAGCAGATGGAGTCAGGAGGGATTTTAG